TCTTTCTGTAACAGATCTTCATCAAGTTCACCGTCCTTTAGAATTGATATGCCACCCAGGGGCCCGAATGCTATGCGTAAGAACTGGCGAATAGCGTCGTCTCCGAATCGTGTCTTCAAGCTCACAAAGACAGATTTTCTCTTCGACTCTAGTCCTCGCTTTCCGGCAATGACTTTGCCATACAAGAGGCGGAGAACTATCGGCATGATACGTTCCAGGTCTGAGTCTTGGATCTCGCCTTCGCTAAGAAACACGGGCAGCTCATCTCTGAACCGGGCGTCGTCGAGTAGATTCATCAGATCCTCTTTGTATGGAGATATGGCAGGGTCCTTCCAGGTCAAGAGTGCTTGGAGCGCAGCCTTTTGGATCTCAAGATCGCCATTGCCCAGCAACGTTAGCAGAGCTTCGCGAACCTCATCCGATCGATACAGCACTTTTGGGTTGTTGAATTTTGAGAAAAGCGAAAGCATGGCTTTCTGGTCTTTTCTCACCCAACGTTGTCCTAGATCAAGCTGTGTGTCTTCGGAGACATGATCATCAGTTTCCAAAACCGGCGCTGGATGATCGAGTGCCCAATCAAGCAGGATTGGTACCAGTAGGCGCGACCGTTTCTCGGCAATGTGTGGGAGAGTATTGAGCAGCCTGAGAGACTGACTCCGGCTAGAAGAATTGACAAAAGGTATCCTGGCATGCTTTTCTCGGAACATGGATTCGAGTTGGCCTTGAACATCTCCGGAAAGTGATTCGGTGCGCGAAACAACATCTTGTATCTCAGCAACATTCGTGCACTCGAACTCAGTGACATAGCGGCGTGGTGCAGCGTTGTTGCTTGAGGCGGCCATCATAACAGCGTCAGGATCAACGGAAGTTTTGAGCCAATCGAAAGCGATTTGTGTAACATGACTTTCTCCATCCTTGGTTTCACAAATGGCTTTCAAAGCTGAGCAAGCGTCATCCCAAACAGAGGCCAGGCGAACTTGCAGCAGACCGAAACAGAACATTGGCATTGCTTCTCCAATCCACTCATCGGAAGAAACTGATGGGTAAAGCTTTGCGAGCTGTCCCACGCGCATGGAAATGGAGCGTTGGTGTTCCAGTGTGAGTGGCGTTTGTTCAATCAGGGTTGCCACAGAAATGATATGTCGCAAGTCTTCGCTCTTCCCAGCCAGAAGGTCCAGAATGTGGAGTGCGGTGAGCCTCAACTCGTGAGAAGGCGAACCTAGGCAGCGCATAATTGCTTTCTTCAAGGAGTCAATGTGTGATCCTTGCAAGGAGAGACTATCCTTTTCTTTCTTCGCCAAGACAAGCAGGGCTCTCCAAAATGACACAGAATGGCCACATCTCAAAGACACTTGGCAAAGATCAGGCCAAAGGTCCGCTACGGACTTCTTGTCGGTGCTGTGCTCTACAAAGAAATGAAATCCGGCACCGAGAGCAAACAAGTCGACCGGCTGTAGGGATTCGGCATCATCGATCTTCACGGAGCGTTTCAATAGATCCCCAAGATCCCTTTGTAGTTTGCCTACCCGTTCTTGCTTGATGTTAAGTACGAGAGTCGTGTCTAGCAAGGCGTTGCAGTAGTGGGCCAGCTGAGATGACTCTTGACTAAGTCTCGCAGCCTTGGTGAGCTGCTCAAATGGTTGGACCAGGAGATCTTGCCAGCGCTCGGAAGGCTGCAAAGCTGTTTTGGATATTAAGCCGCTTTGGCATAGCTGCGGTAAGACAGCACATAACTCCGGCCCGTGGTCGTGTGCTTTCTGGACAACAAATCTATCTGGTTTTAGCAAAATTTCGTGCTCAAAATCGAACGTTCACATACCTTTTGAAATATGGGAGCAGCAGCGACTTGAAGCGGTCCACACCGAGGCTCGCAAACAAAATGCAAAACGGAAGGAATAATTTCTCCCATGATCCCTGACTTAGCATTTCCAGGAGCTTTTCATACGGAATTGAGGCATCCAGGGCGCAGTATTGGAAGACAACTGAGACAGCGGAGAGCATGTCCCAGGCAATCTCAGCATCTAGGTCGGTGCCTTGAACGGATTTGAAAAGGAGGTCAGTGCATTGCAGAACAGGTCTCCAGTCCAATATCCGTGTGCCCTGTCGTACACCGCAAACGACAAATAGCAGGCGCGCGGATAGCCCTGAGTATTCTCGGTTTGATACGATAGACTCGATCTGAGCAAGAACTTCTCCAAGTAATGGTTCGAAGTTCTCCGCATCAGTGTGGTGGATGATCGCAGTGAGGACGCCTGCGAGGATAGGTTCGAGAGGTGGGCTGCGGAGTCTAGCGTGCTCTTCGCGGTAAGTCTCCGCCAAAAGTTCTTGTAAGATGGCCGGGGCGCTCGAGTGGAAGCCTCTTTGTACGCCCTTCAGGGAATCAGCCAGTAGATACATCAGGCCATTCTGGAAGTCGTAGTCCTTCGCGGAGCCTTGTAAATCCTCCACTTGCTTCGAGATATGGCTGACGATTAATCGCAGGGGCGTCTTGTCCCTATGGTAACCGGCGCCAGCTTTGCGGATCAAGAAGCTCAGTGATTCAGCGGCGAATCGCGAGACAAATGCCTTTTGACGCTCTTTCCCCAGCAGAGGCGAGATGAGATCGAACACGGGTCTGAGATCCGGCACCAGTAACCGGGAGAGGTATTTGAACAGCCAAGCCAAACATGCAAAGCTCCATTCAATCACTTCCACGTCAGCATGGGTGGCTGCCAAACGCGCCACGACCGTGACAGCCTGTTCGAAGTGCTTTTCGAATCGTTCCCCAAGATCGTGCGCCAGATGCGCCAACAGACTCAGCAGTGGTTCTTCTGCGAATTTATCTCCTTTCTCTATGTATTCGATGAGCAGCTCCATAATGCGATCGCTGTGGTGGAGAACCTGCGGGAGGCTGTCGCATAGTGACGCGACTCGGCGGGCAAAGATGGAGAATCCCTCGGACAAATTGAGCTCCCTCCATTCGTTGAAGGCGTCTCTAAAGTATGAGAAGGTGGCTTCGAGTTCGGCATCGTCGAGGATCGTGCTGCGACCGCGGCGAACAGGCTCAATCTTGATTTGCGCAATGCGCTGGGAGAAGCCCTTGAAGGTGTGGTTTCGCGTCGATTCGGTGCCGCCCTTTACTCGCTTTGGCGCTTTTCTTGAGTTCAGCAGCTTCGGGGCTGGCTTTCCTTGGGTTCCCCGTGACATGGCTGCCATGGTAATAGTTTGGAGGAAGTCTGAGGCGGCTGCGATGATGTTCGTGCTCCACTTACTTTTTTCGCGCCTGCAACTTTTCGACGCTTATCGATAGCACTAGCGCCACTTCCGATTCGCCGACATATTATTGTCGCAGGTCAACACCACGCAACTATCACGAGTCCAGTAACACGCCATGGCCTCGAAAATGTAAGTCAAAATTCGTCCAAAAATACTTGCTTCCAACACTGACCCGCACAGTGTGGTAGTGGGCGATGTAAATGGCCACTTCAGGACAGTCTTCCAGAAGCTGGGAGCACTGCACGCGAAGAACAACTTTGCCTTTGCCATTATAGCTGGAAGCCTGTTTGGTGATGCTGAGGATGTCAACAGCGTCGACCAATCGGATGTGCAGCTATTGATCGACGGTAAGATCGAAGTGCCACTGCCAACCTACTTTGCTCTCACTAGTCGCCCTCTTCCTCCAGCAGTGGTGGAGCAACTCGAAGCTTCAAATGACGAGCTCTGCTCGAATCTGTTCTTTCTAGGCAAGCGCAGTGTTACAAAGACTTCTGAAAACATTCGAATTGTGGCGTTGGGTGGGCAATTGGACCCCAACATCATTGCAGGTCATTCCAAGGACAAGTATCCCCCGTTCTATGGAGAAACAGATGCCAAAACACTTCGCGGTGCGACAACAGCCGACATTCTCATCACTAATGAGTGGCCGGAGGATATACGCAAGCGCTCCAGGGTAGAGTTCCAGCCAGACTTACAGCCCCAGTCTCAACAATGCATCGCCGACCTGGATGTGTTGTTGAAGCCCAGGTACCACTTCTCTACGTCTGGTGGCGCATTCTATGAGCGAGAACCTTTTTTCCACGCTCCGAGTGATGAGACCGACAATCTCTACCCCATCACGCGTTTCATCAGTATGGCTGCCTACGGCAATCCAAACAAGCAGAAATGGATTTACGCATTCTCGATAGATCCATCCGCAAGCCACCCCGCATCACCACCCGCGGGCGCAACCGCATGTCCAGTCACTTTGTCAGAGAAAAAGCGACCAGCGCCTGAGCACCGCGAACAGGCATTAGTATATGACGATGGAACCCGCGGTCGGAGATCGAACAAGCGACGTAAAGGCGAGAGTCGAGGTCCTCTGTCGGCATCCGAGTGCTTCTTCTGTTTGGCGAACGAGAATATTGCTACGCATCTAGTCACCTCTATTGGCGACAACGCGTATGTGACGACTGCGAAAGGGCCGTTGTCAACATCACAAACCTTTCCAAAGCTAGGATTTCCCTGTCACATGCTCATCATCCCCTTCACTCATCAACCGACTCTGGGCTCTATGGAAGAGGAGGAACGCCAGGCGACATATGGCGAGATGCAAAAATATCGCGTGGCAATGAATACCATGCTCAAATCTGTCGCCAATGAAGACTATGGCTCTGTGACGTGGGAAGTCAGCAAATCCAGTCTACCACATACGCATTGGCAGTATCTGCCTGTTCCATCGGACCTTATCCGGAAGGGACTGGTAGAAGCTGCGTTCAAAGCCTTAGCAGAGAATATGCACTGGCCGAAGTTTGAAAAAGAGGACGTTGCAGATGGTTTCGAGGAAACGAGTGACTTCTTCCGCATCCTGGTCTGGGACCCGGCAACCGACCCTTCAAAGCAGACGAGCTATGTTCTGCGCTTCGACGAGACCATTCGATTCCATAGCCAATTCGGTCGAGAAGTCCTTGCAAAACTCTTGCGGCTCGACCAGAGGATCGATTGGCGGGATTGCGGCCAAACGCAGGCTCAGGAGGAGCAAGACGTGGCAAAGTTCAAAGAAGCCTTCACAGAATTTGATTTCGCGTCCGAATGAGTGCAGGAATTGGGCATAAACGATAAGTGTATGTATGAATTGAACCTTGCCCAAGAATGACGCACCAGTCTTCCATGTGCAACCGAGCATCGCAATGTCAGGCCAGCTTGCCTCGTCTCCCCACGACTGTCTTCCACGCAACACCTCAACTCTCATGTGTGCTGAAGTCAGCCAAGACGTTGCTGCCTCGGACATACTCGATACGGCATCTTGTGAGACGGCATGGATCACAGCACTAAAGGCTTGGACAACCAGTCTCGGGTCTGCCGCTTGGCCGAGACGCGCACATGTGTCAGCACCATGCCACCTCGCCACTCTTCTTGCGCGTAGAAAACGAAAATAAAAACTGTCGTCTTTTTAGGCATACAAACGAGATTGACACGAGGTTGTTGCCCAAACCTGGCATGCAATCCAACTTGCATCTTGGCACAAAGCTAGCTGTTCTTCGACAAGACGTGCTCTTGGCATTGAGCAGCTCGCACGTGTGATTAGCAGTGGGGTTTACAAGCCACCTAAATAAAGGTGTAACCGTGCGACGTGCGTTTCCGGCATGGCGATTTCTCCATGCACGCACCCCAAACCTTGATTCCTCACGTTCAGCTTATCTGTAGTTTAATTCGCTTTGCCATCTTCCACTAACACTTTACAAGGCATCGTCCCGTACCGCAAGAAGCGCCGCTGGTTTGCTCGCTCCGGAGTTTCATATGCAGCGCCAATCAAGATGGCGATCTACACGAGGCCTGCGGCCAACCACGAGTCGCGATAAGGGCACCTGCGCTCTTGAGTCTCACCCCTCCAACCACAACACTTTCAGTCAAACACCAGTAATCTTCCCGTTGTCCAGTTGTTGCCCTAGGTCATGCAGGTAGCTCGGAGCCGTGGCCGCGAATGGAAGCTCGACCTCCTTCTCTCTATATGCGTAGACGATCAGGTACGGCATCGCTATACACCCGAGTAAACACCCGAGTAAGTCGAAGATAGACACGCCGAAGACCCTTGGCCACTAGCTTGACCTGCCTATTGCGGTTTGTAGACTACGGTCCGCCATGTCCCAGCGCGTGGTACAGAGGTAAGGGCGCTGGTCAAACGGCACGCGTGGTGCTTATCATTGGTGTTGAAGATGGTTATTGTGTTTGGCACCATCAGAAGGGCCGTTGAAGCGTGTGTAGTGGGAGATTGGAACAGCCGTTGCAGTCAGCAAGGCTTAAGTATATAAGTCAGGCACGCGCCGGACAAAAGTAAGAGGGTAGGACGAAGACTTCACACCTCTTCGACTTCGACTTCAGCTCGACAGCCAGCGCCCAGCTCTTCCATTGCAACTGCTCCTACAGCCATCATGAAGTCCGCCATCTTTCTCACCATCGCTTCGGCGACTCTCATTTCTGCTGCCCCAGCACCCGTCCACCTTACTGCGCGCGCGCCGCCCAACATTCCCTCCGCCAGCCAAGCCCGCACTCAGCTCGCAGGACTGACTGTTGCTGCTCAGGGCCCGCAAGACGGCTACTCTCGCGACCTGTTCCCGCACTGGATCACCCAATCCGGAGCCTGCAACACGCGCGAAGAGGTGCTCAAGCGTGATGGTACCAATGTCGTAACCAACTCTGCGTGCGCAAGCACCAGTGGAAGCTGGGCCAGCCCTTACGATGGTGCAACCTGGACCGATGCAGCCGATGTTGATATCGACCACATGGTGCCGTTGAGCAATGCTTGGAAGGTATGATTATCATTATCGGGTTTAAATCTCTCACCACTAACACTATCCACAGTCTGGCGCCGCATCATGGACCACTGCCCGTCGTCAGGCCTTTGCCAACGACCTGACCAACCCCCAACTCCTGGCTGTCACTGACAACGTCAACCAAGCCAAGGGCGACAAGGGCCCCGAGGACTGGAAGCCCCCGCTAACGAGCTACTACTGCACGTACTCGAGGATGTGGATCAAGGTCAAGAGCGTGTACGGCTTGACCATTACGAGTGCGGAGAAGACTGCATTGACAAGCATGTTGGGAACGTGCTGAGAGGGTTGATTGGAGGATGGAAAGACATTTTATGATTTCATGGAGATTTTGAAGCAATGCCATGGTGTAAATGCCTCCCCTTCTGTCCCTCTTGTGATGCGTCGTGTCCGCGGTGGCGATGATGAGACGCCATGGCTAATACAAAGTGCGTTGCCCTGGACAAAACCATTTGACTCTATACGCGAACAAAGTTAAAGCAGGTAGGTGCTCTGAATGTGATCGTCCCTGCTAGTTATCCAACGTTGCAAGCATCCGGTTGCGACAGTCACGTGTACTAGGCTGCACGCCCCACCGCTCCTTCCTTCTGTAGCGCGTTCATTACTCTAGTACCTATCCTGTCCAATCAAGTGGGTTTTGAGGCAACTGTGCTACATTGTTCCCGCCTTGCGGAACCTTATCAGTACCACTCTATCACTAATCTGAAGTACCACCAAAAGACGGTATTATTCCACGCTTGGCCGAAGCAACTACCATGTGTACAAAATCTGACTACACCGCCGAGTCCACCGATCTGAGAGGAGCCAATAGCAATGACGCACACATTGAGTACAAGAGTGCGCATATGCCTCCAGGCGTTGTCGTGATCTGCGGCGTCGAGGTCAACGACAACACGGAAGACGTACGGTCTCCGAATCAGGGTATTACAGAGTCTCAGTTCTGCATATACGTACTCAGGTCACTCAAAGTCGCCAGTGAAGCTTGGAAATGTCACCATGGGAAGTGCTTTGTGCTTCTGAACCCGCTTCATCTAGCATTCGTGCGAGGGACTTCATCTCGAAAGGAAATTCCAAGTTAAGAGGGCGATTCTTGCGGACGCTGCCTTGGAGTATAAGTACTACTGGTTTGTTCATGTTAAATATCCAACAGTAAGAATCACTTCGCACAAAGACTAGCTAACCATCAACATGCAGTTCTCACACGTGGTGAGCATACATCCACGCAATAAACACTCCTACACTAACCCACTTTCTAGCTACTCTTCTCTCTCCTCAGTCTCGCCGCCGCAAATCCCGTCTCCTCCTCCTCTCG